AACAGTAATGGTTGCTGCTGGTTTCTTCTTCTGTTATCTTCATCCCAGAAGGGTACCTGCCAGATGTCAGCCAGAGCTCTCCTCTTTAAGGTACCTCTGGATATTCGGGGGTTGTGGAGCTGCTTGAGTAGACAGCCTGTCCCTTATCAGAGCTCAAGTGCTGTGTTAGGTGTTCTGTTATTCCTTTCAGTGCTGCTGGGTAAATGCGTTTAAGTTTGCTGCAGTGGAACTTACAACTGCCTCTTTTCCCTGGTGCTCTGTCCTGGGAAGGTCAGGCTTTATTTATAAGTTTGTGATGCCCTGCCCAGCAAGGAGGCAGTCTAGTCACAGTCTGCCAGCAGAGGCATTGCTGAAAACTGTGGGCTCTGCCCAGCTACTATGTAAATTTCCTTGTGGTTTTGTTTACAGAGGTACAGTTAGAACTGCCTCAGTAATCTGCCAGTTTCTTTATTCAGTCTATCATTGATGGACATTTGGGTTGGTTCCAAGTCTACTACTGTGAACAGTTCCACAATAAATTTATGTGTAAATGCATCTTTATAATATAAGTATTTATGATCCTTTGGGTATATACCCAGTAATGGGATGGCTGGGTCAAATGGTATTTCTACTTGTAGATCCTTGAGGAATCAACACACTGTCTTGCACAATGGTTGAACTAATTTACACTCCCACCAACTGTGTAAAAGTGTTCCTATTTTTCCACATCTTCTCCAGCATCTGTTGTCTACTGATTTTTTAATGATCGCCAATCTAAATGGCGTGAGATTGTATATAAATGTGGATTTGATTTGCATTTCTCTAAAGATTAGTGATGATGAGCTTTTTTTCATACGTTTGTTTGCTGAAGAAATATCTTCTTTTTAGAATTGTGTGTTCCCCCCTGTCACCTAGTTTTTGATAGGGTTGTTATTTTTTTGGTGTTGTTGTTTTGTTTTGTTTCGTTTTTGTAAATTTGTTTAACTTCTTTGTAGATTCTGGCTATTAGCCATTTGTCAGATGGGAAGATTGCAAAAATTTTTTCTACTCTACTGGTTGCTGGTTCACTCCAATGATAGCTTTTTTTCGCTGTGCATGTGCTGTTTAATTTAATTAGATCCCGTTTGTTTATTTTGGCTTTTGTTGCCATTGGTTTTTTGTGGTTTGGTCATGAATTCCTTGCCCACGCCTATGTCATAAATGATTTCTTTAAGGGTTTTTATGGTCTTAGGTCTTATGTTTGAATCTTTAATAAATCTGGAGTTAATTTTTGTATTAGGTGTAAGGAAGGGATGCAATTTCAGCTTTCTGCTTATGGCTAGCTAGTTTTCACAACACATTTTTAAAAGAGGAAATCTTTTCACCATTGCTGGCTTTCATTAGGTGTGTCAAAGCTCAGATGGTTGTTGATTTTTATATTTTCTATGTGAATTAAAAGGAAGGTGATCAGATGAGAGTCAGGAAGCAGTGTAGAGTTTTGACATTTCCATAAGAAAGGGGTGAAAAACAGTTTTTAGGAATAAAATATGAATTGACTAAAGAAACGTATACAATCAGTAGGCAGCACTAACAGAACAGCTTTGTTTTGTTTTTTATAAATTTAAAATGGCCAGTATAATTTTCTGTGTTTTTCTTCATGTACACAAAGTTATGTCGGCACAGGAGTAGAATAAGTGGCTTCTTAGAATTAGGATTTTTCCATGTGAGATGGAATGAAGGCAAGAGAAGTGAGCTAAAACCACAATTTTTTATCTTAGAAAGTATGGTTAAAATAATCAATTACGGAATCCAAGTTTTAGGCAAGGGGGAGGAGGTTAGGAGAAAAAGCTATGGGAGCACTTTGGGCCAAACAACAAATCAGATGTAAGAAATCAAAGATCAATCACTCCAGCAGAAGTTTAAAGGAGCTCCTTTCATAGGACAGAAAACTTGAATAGGGCAGGAATAACTCCCAGGTTAAATGTCCCCTTCTGCCACAACTAGGCGGATTCCATTTCTGGATCCCCTCCCCCAACAGCATGAGAGCTCGCTCTCTCTCTCTCTCCTTATCTATTTCTTTCTCCTTTTTCTCTCTCTCTCTGCCTAAATAAATTATTTTCTGCAAAACTCTTTGGGGTCCAATATTTAGTTAAAGGAGTTCACTGCACCTGATGGTGTCCTCTCCCCTATTGTTGGGTGAGTGAGTGACCAAGGGCCTGGAAGAACACATCCTTTTGGGGAACGACCTGAGCCTGTTGTCTGCAATTTGGTCACAATATGGCTGAACAGATAGGCAAAGAGTTGGTCATAAGACTGTGCCATTGCATGCTAAGGGATTAGGATATGAGTATAAGCTCCAGAGCAGTAAGAGTCGGCAGAAATCAAGAAGTCTGGAGTCATTCAGGTGTCCCTTGGAGAGGGATCATTTCCCTAATCAAAAGTACCACGAGAAAAAGTTGAAAGACAAGAAATGTCACATTCTCTGGTTTGCTGTTGTTCAATTCCCCCTCCTTTTTTTCAGTTCTTCCTCATTATCTTCTTACCCTCCCCTATACCAAATGTAACTTATTCCAAAACTTTCATGCAGCTTTATTTATTAATGTGTCTTCCATACCTAATAATATCTTCAGCATAGTATATGTGCAATAAATGTTCGTTAAATAAATAAAACATGTAATGTATAATTTTATATGAAGGAATCTGAAAATCTTAGAGAAATAAATTTTCTTGAAAAATATAAATTTTACACATGAAGTATATGCAAAAATACATAATAATGTAATCACATCAATCAATAAAGAAAATTTTCACAAGTAGTAGAGGGAAGGTGGGAAAGAAGAGGGATGCTGGGAATGAAAGAAGATGGAAGGTGAGGAAAGTGGAAAAGAAAAAGAGGGACAGTGGGGAAAGAGGAAAGAAGAAGAGGGATGGCGGGAGAAGAAGAAGAGGGAAGTTTGGGGAACAAGAAGAGGGAAGGTGAGGCAAGAAGAAGACGGAAGGTGGGAAATGGAAAAGAAGAAGAGAGAAGGTGGGGAAAAAGAATAGGGGAGGTGGGGAAAGTGGAAAGAAGATGGGGAAAGAAAAAGAGGGAACTTGGGGAAAGAAGAAAAGTGAAGGTGGGAGAAGAAGAGGGAAGGTGGGAGAAGATCAAGAAAGAAGGTGGGGGAAAAAGAAGAAGGAAGGTGGAGAAAGCGGAAGGGTGAGGAAATAATGGGGAAACACCAGGTACAGTGGCTCACACCTGTAATTCCAGCATTTTGTGAGGCCAAGGCAGGTGGATTTCCTGAGGTCAGCAGTTTGAGACCAGCCTGGCCAGCGTGGTGAAAACCCATCTGTACTAAAAATACAAAAATTAGTCCGGCATGGTGGCAGGCAGGTGTAATCCCAGCTGCTCTGGAAACATAGCCAGGAGAATTGCTTGAACCTGGGAAGCGGAGGTTGCAGGTTTCAGTGAGCCAAGATTGCACCATTGCACTAAAAAAAAGAAGGTGGGGACTGAAGAAGAAGGAAGGTGCTAGAAGAAGCAAAAGAAATGCAACACCCATTCATAATTAAAAAAAAAATACTCAGAAAACTCAGAATAGAAGGGTGTTTACCCAACTCAATGGAAAAAATCTGCAGATTCTTGATGGTAAGAAAATAGATGCTTTCCCTCTAAGATCAGGAACAAGGAAAGGATGTCCTCTCACTACTCCTATGTGACATTACAGTAAACCTCCTACCTAATGTAAGACAAGAAAGGAAAATAAAAGGTATTCATAGTAGAAAGAAATAAATCTGTCTTTGTAGATGATGTGATTTTTATGTAAAAAATACCTAAGAATAAACAAAAACCTCCTGTAATTAATAAGCAATTTTAGCAAGTCTACAGGGTAAAAGGTCAATTTCTTTCTTAACGCCAGCAAAGAACAATTGGAATTTGAAATTAAAAACACAATACCATTTGTATTTGCCTCAAAAAATAATAAAAAAATAAATATTTAGGCATAAATCTAACAAAATGTGTATAGGCTCTATGAAGTAAGCTAGCAAACCTCTGATAAAGAAATTAAAATCTAAATAAATAGAGAAATATTCCATATTCCCAGAAAATGTCAGTATTGTTCCAATGTCAATTCTTCCCAACTTTATTTGTAGATTCAATGAGATCTCAATCAAAATCTGAGGATGTCATTTTTTGGATGACAATAAATTACTTCTGAATTTTAAATGAAAAAGTAAAAGACCTAGAATAATCCATAGAACATTCAATAATGAAGTTGGAGGACTGATATTACCAGACTTCAAGACTTACAACAAAGCTACAGTAAACAAGACAGCATGGTATTGGCAAAAGAATAGACAAATAGACCAATGGAATAGAATGGAGAGCCCCAAAATAGATCCATGTAAAATACAGACAACTGATATTTGACAAAGGAGGAAAGGCAATTTAATGGAGAAAAGAGTCTTCAATATATGGTGCTAGAACAACCGGAAATACAAATAGAAAAAATGACACATGCCTTATATCTTTTATAAAAATTAACTTAAAATGGATCTTAAATTGTAAATGTAAAATGTAAAACTATAGGACATCTACTGGATAACTTGAGACTGTAGGTGACTTTGAGTTTGGTGATGATACAACACCAAAAGCATAATCCATGGGGAGGGGGTAAACTTAGCAAGTTGGACTTGATTACAATGAAAAACTTCTGCTCTGCAAAAGGCACTGTTAAGATTAAAAAAACGAAGCACAGACAGGGAGAAAATATTTGCAGAATACCTATTTGATAAAGGTCTGTTACCTAAAATACACAAGGAACTCTTCTAAAGGAAATTTAAATTTAAAATATTCAGAATTGGGTGAAAGATCTGAACAGACACCTCACCAAAGAAGATATACAGATGGTTAATAAATATATGAAAAGATGTTCAACATCATATCCTATTAGGGAATTGCAAATTAAAGCAACAATCAGATACTACCACACACATATTAGAATGGCAAGAATCCAAAACTAAGACATCATCAACTGCTGGCAAGGATATAGAACAAGAGGAACTCGAATTTATTACTGGTGATAATGCAACATGGTTACAACCACTTTAGAAGACAGTTAAGCAGTTTCTCACATAGCTAAACATAGATTGACTATACCATCCAGCAATCATGCTGCTAGATATTTACCCAAATCAGTGAAAATGTATGTCCACAAAAAAAATTGCATATGAATGTTTATATCAACTTTAGTTATAATTCCCAAAACTTGAAAGCAACCAAGATGCCGTCGAGTAGATAAATGGGTGTACTATGGTACATTCATACAATTGAGTATTATTCAGTGATAAAATGAATTAAGCAATCAAGCCTTGATAAGACATGGAGTAACGTTAAATGCAGATTGCTAAGTGAAAGAAACCAGTCTGAAAAGGCTACATACTACATTCCAGCAATATGACATTTTGAAAGAGGTAAAACTATAGAAACAGTAAAAGAAAATCAGTGGATGTCATGTCATGGGTGAGGTTTGGAAGGGTAAAAGAAGGATTAATATATAGAACAGAGGGAACAATTTCAGGCAGAGAAGCTGATACTGTAATGGTGGATATGCGGCAGTATGCATTTGTCAAACCGTGGAACTGTATAACAGAAAGAGTAAACCTCAATGTAAACTGTGGACTTTAGTTAATGATAATGTCTCAATATTGGTTCATCAAATGTAATAAAAATGGTAATAACAGGGGAACTGCTGAGAGGTGGGAAGTTGGAGGAGGATGATATGAGTATATAAAACTCTGTATCTGCTCAATGTATCTGTACAACTAAAATTATGCCAAAAAATAAAGGAGTGTATGTGTATTCACATATTTCCAAATTTGACTCAAGAAAAAGTAATGGAATTTGTCAACTTCTAGAAAAAAACATTTAAAAGTTGTTAATCACAGAAAAGCACACAATCAAGTTTTTTAGGCAATTGCTTTTACGGTTTTGGTATAGACTGAAAATTTGTGTGCACACCAAAATTCGTATGTTCATGTCCTGTCAATTTTATAGTATGAAGTGGTAGGCCCGTTGGGAGATAATTAGGTCATGAAGGTAGATACCTCATGAATGAGATTAGTGCCCATATAATAGAGACCCTAGAGAGCACTTTTTTTTGGGGGGGCGACAAGGTCTCATTCTGTCACTTGGGCTGGAGTGCAGTGGCATAATTTTGGCTCACTGCAACTTCAACCTCAAGGGTTTAGGTGATCTTTTCGCTTTAGCCTCCTGACTAACTGGGACTACAGGTGTGGGCCACCATGTGCAGGTAATTTTTGTGAGTTTTTTTTCGTAGAGATTGGATTTTGCCTGTTGCCCAGGCTGGTCTTGAACTCTTGGGTTCAGACAATACACTTGCCTCGGCCTCCCAAAGTGCTAGTAATAGAGGCATGAGCCACTGTGCTTTAGATCCCTCATCTCTTTTGCCATGTGATGATGAATGAGAAGATGAGGTCTATGAGTCATGAAGTGACCCCTCACGCAACACCAAATATACCTTCATCTTAGACGTCTCAAACTCCAGAATTATGGGAAATAAGTTTTTTGTTGTTTATATGACACCCAGTCTATGGTATTGTTAAAGCATCCCAGACTAAGACAAGCTTTCAAGGAACAGACATTTCCTATGCTATACAATCTCTACAGAGCATAGGAACTGATGGAATGTTTCCCAGTTAACTCAGGTCTTTAAAAAAAAAGGTCTCTTTGCAGATTGCATCAACAGCTGACACTGCTTCCTAATGATGTACGTATCTCTCACATAGCTGGTCTCTAGAAGTTGTTTTAAATACAGTCATTAAATTAAAAATCCTCATTAATCAGGATTCTTGAGGGGTGAAGATGAGCCTCAATTATGAAATTTGGATTTTGTATGAAAATATCTCTGTATACTTGTCCTGCCCTGGGTCTTTACCTGTTGTATTTCCCTACACGAGCAAAATTCCCAGAAGGATCCAGAGTGTATAAAACACCACATAGTCCAAGCCTAAAAAAGACCATTCTTCTGAATTCCTTGGCCTTCATAGGCAAGGAAACCAAAGAACTGGCAGGACTACTAGATTTTACGCCCCATCCACATGCTTGTACTGTAGATTATCCACAAGAGTAGGGGCTGGTGCTGGACAGGAAGCTGTAGGAGGGGACAGATTATTGCTATCAGCAATACAGAGAAAACAGACATTCAGGAGGGGACAGGGAGGTGATGACTGGAAGAGCAAGTTCCTGGATCTCCTCTGGCCTGGGCTTCTTAATGTGCTGGGGTAGTGTTCCCCAACCTTTTTGGCACCAGGGCACTGGTTTCGTGGAAGACAGAAGGGGCGGGTGGCGGGTTTGGGGGTGGTTTTGGGATGAAATTCTTCCACCTCAGATTATTAAGCAGGAGTTAGCGTCTCATAGGGAGCATGCAACCTAGAGTCTTCATGTGTACAGTTCATAGTAGGGTTCTTGCTCCTTTGAGAATTTAATGTGGCAGCTGTTCTGACAGGCAGAGCTCAGTCAGAAATGCTCCATCTCCCCCTGCTCACCTGGTGAGTTCACCTCCTGTAGTTGAGGGCCCCTGTCCTGGGGCATGGATGCAGCAGTCTTCAGCTGTATTTTTTTCCTTCCTGGCAGACTTTCATAGGTGCCAAGCTATGTCAGTAGGGCTCAATCTCATGTCTCTCTGAAGTGCCAGAACACCACTAGGGAAAAAAAAAAAAACAACCAGAGCTTGATTAGTGGTCACAACCAGGGTCCAGGATACCTAAAACACAATAGGGACATCTGTCCCTTCAGAGACTTGTTCAAAATTGAAGAAGCTCAAGTTTATTGTAAGGCACTTGCCAGTGTCGTCTGTTTCTAGGAGTCACTGGAACCACCGCCCTTGGGAACAGGGGCAGCCAGAAGAGTTTTGGAGAGGAGATTTGAACTATAAAAGAGCATAATTACAAAGCAATTTTTGGGAAAAAGAGGAGATAATGGATTAGAGGGCCCTGGAGCTCAGAACTAAAGGCAGAGTGGGAGGAATCAACTTATGGTGAGATAATAAACTGCAGTCTCTTGAGAATAGAACCCAAATTGCCTTACACGTGCTGAGACCACCCTTATATTCTCTGTAACTCCTTAACCTTCCCTGTGTCCCTGAACTCATCTCTATTTTAATTTCCATTTCCTGCAGTAGAATTCATTAGTTTTACGCTTGCAAAATAGTCAGACAGTTGTCTGTGGGGTCATCATGACTGCCTTTGAACAGAGTTCACCACCCTCACCAGGGACAATGTAGCTGTATTCAGTGAGGGCCACAGAGATTTACTTACCAAGCAGCACCTCACTCATGCTGGCTATCTCTAGCAGAGCAGCACATTTTTGTTCCTACACCCAGGTTGGCACTTTAAAGTTGGATTATAGACCACCCCAGCTCCATAACACTTCCCCTGATTAAACTCAAATGCCCAAATTCATATCAGACATCATATTAGATATCACAATTTGGCGGCCCTGCCAGAAACTAAGAGACTTGTAGATACTTACGGAATGTTAACTTCAGGCTGCTAGGCATCAATCCCTTACATGTCGATTATGCTTTTTATCCTCAGTAGAGTGGTGGAGCCAGGATTTGTATTCAGACATTCTGACATGTAAACACTACACTGCACTGCCTGGTGTCCTGCTCACTGCCAACGGGGTGCCTTTACCTCTCCAGACATTTGAATCTGCTGTGATCTTTTCTTCCTTACCTCTTTTTGATTTGCAATGGGAATGCTCCAAAGAGGAATTATTATTGTCCAGGGAAGCAAGCTCAGCATTTGCGAGTTAGAGGGTTCTGACAGCTACTTAGTGGCAGCATTAGGACTATAGCTACTGGAAGCAAGGTGACAACTAATTCCTCAGTGAATTATCTCTGAAAATGGGGAAAGCAGTTCATGGGTCAGCCACTGTTAAAGTACCTTTACAGAGTATAGGACAAATAAGTAGTTCTCTATTGGACATAATAAAGAAGAAAATGTTTTTATTTTTAAGATGTTTGCAATTCAATTATAGATATTATATATATGCATATATATGTATACACACACACACACACACAGACACACACAGACACACACAGACACACACACACTGCCTTAAAATAACTTCTAAGCCGTATACAGGTAAGTTCATAAGAAAAACACACAGTACAGAAGCTCAAGGCATTACAGACCGAAGAATTAGAGTATTAATGTGTTTAAAAGAATTGCCCCTTAGAAACTACTTTGGAGTATTGTTTTGGAAGAGGGTGAACATATGGGGGTGGGGGTGGAGTGGGGCAGAGCAGATGTGGCAGGAAGCGCATCAAATGTAGAGGAATGGCGTATGCAAAGGAATTAGGCTTTTTGTCCCTCTTTTCATAATTGTAAGGCCCATTTTGATGGTCTGAGTTTGTCTTAAGGGAGCATATTTCCAGAATAGATATTTCCTCAACTACCTCTAATCGAAGCAAGTTCAAAATGACTCAGCTTCAATATTATGATTCTAAACAAGCTAAGACCTATTTGGGAGGTTTATGAATTCTGGCACAGCCTCAACTGAGAAGTCCCTTGAGAGACTTGCTCAAAATTGAGCAAGCTCAAGTTTACTTTAAGGCACTTATCAGGGATAAAGAAAAATTCGTATCAGTGTACAAAAATCACAAGCATTCATATATACCAATAACAGACAGAGAGCCAAAACATGAGCGAACTCTCATTCACAATTGCTACACAGAGAATAAAATACCTAGCAATACAAGTAACAAAGGACATGAAGGATCTCTTCAAGGACAACTACAAAGCACTGCTCAAGGAAATAAGAGAGGACACAAACAGATGGAAAAACATTCCATGCTCAAAGTTAGGAAAAATCAATATCGTGAAAATGGCCATACTACCCAAAGTAATTCATAAATTCAATGCTATCCACATCAAGCTACCATTGACCTTCTTCACAGAAATGGAAAAAATCACCTTAAACTTAATATGGAACCAAAAAAGGGCCCACATAGCCAAGACAATCGTAATAACTGGTACCAAAACAGAGATATAGACCAATGGAACAGAACAGAGTCCTCGGAAGTAATGCCACACATCTACAACCATCTGATCTTTGACAAATCTGACAAAAAAATGCAAAGGGGAACGGATTCCCTGTTTGATAAATTGTGTTTGGAAAACTGGCTAGCCATGTGCAAAAAGCTGAAACTGGACCCCTTCCCTACACCTTATACAAAAATTAACTCCAGATGGATTAACGATTTAAACATAAGACCTAAAACCATGAAAACTCTAGAAGAAAACCTAGGCCATACCATTGAGAACATAGGAATAGGCAAGGACTTCATGACTAAAGCACCAAAAGCAATGGTAATAGAAGTCAAAGTAGACAAATGGGATCTAATTAAACTTAAGAGCTTCTGCAGAGCAAAAGAAACAATCAATAGAGTCAACTGGAAAAAAAATTTCCAAGCTACCCATCTGACAATGGGCTAGTATCCAGAATCTACAATGAACTAAAACAAATTTACAGGAAAAACAACAACCACATCAAAAAGTGGGCGAAGGATGTGAAGAGACACGTTTCAAAAGAAGACATTTATGAGGCCAACATATTAAAAAATGCTCATCACTGGTCATTAGATAAATGGAAATCAAAACTACCTTGAGATACCATCTCACATCAGTTTGAATAGCAATCATTAAAAAATCTGGAGACAACAGATGCTGGAGAGGATATGGAGAAATAGGAACACTTTTACACTGTTAGTGGGAGTGTAAATTAGTTCAACCATTGTGGAAGACAGTGTGGCGATTCCTCAAGGATACAGAAATAAAAATACCATTTGACCTAGTAATCCCATAACTGGGTATATACCCAAAGGATTATAAATCATTCCATTATAAAGACACATGCATATGTATGGTCATTGCGGCACTGTTTACAATAGCAAAGACCTGGAACCAACCCAAATGCCCATCAATGATAGACTGCATAAAGAAAACGTGGCACATATACATCATGGAATACTATGCAGCTATAAGAAAGGATGAGTTCATGTCTTTTGCAGGGATATGGATCAATCTGGAAAGCATCATTTTCAGCAAAGTGACACCAGAACAGAAAACCAAACAGTGCATGTTCTCACTCATAAGGAGTATTGAATAACGAGAACACATGGACACATGGAGGGGAACATCACACACTGGGGTTGGTTAAGGAGTGGGGACTAGGGGAGGGATAGCAGGGGTGGGGAGATTGGGGATGGATAACATTAGGAGAAATACCTAATGTAGGTGATGGGGGGATGAAGGCAGCAAACCACCATTGCATGTGTACACCTATGCCACAATCCTGCTAGATTTGCACATGTACCCCAGAACTTAAAGTATATATATATATATAAAAGATTCCTGTCACACAATAGGGAAAATCTACAGCCAACAAAAGGGCCTCCAAAAGTAGGCGATGGAACCATTTAGCAAAGCATTCTCCTGCAGAACCCGGCACTATTTGCTGTTTCAATTCTCTATTTCTTTCTAATCAGGTCCAGAGTCGAACTAATGATTCCATCCTTTGTTTTTTGGAGACAGGCTGTGAAGTTGGAAAAGTCAGGTGCTTTAAGCACATAGGCAGCATGACGGTGGCACTTCAAAAGAAAAGTTTTGTGAATCATGGGTATCTCCTCTGGAAAACGTGGAGGTACCTGGTCAGTCTCTGGTACCCTCTTCTTGACCAGGTCTACCTGCAGAATGCAGCTGCAGCAGATATAGACTGGGTCCATTAGTGCTCACAACAGAGGAACTGCTGCTCTGTGAATTGTGTGGGCTCTGTTACGGTGTTCAAAGAAGCCAATGTGATATTAGGTAGATTTCAGACCTTTGTCTTCATGTCACATTTGATAGCCATCCCTCATGCCAAATGACTCCTAGAAACAGATGCCAGAGGAGGCTTTCTAGGAGAATTTGGGTTTTTGTTCTCCTGACTTTCTTCCCTGGAATGTTGGCTCTCCTAATTAGGCACTAGACTTGTAGAGAACTTGGCCAACTTTAGGGAAACTGAGGCAAGGTCCGATTATTTTTGTTTCATCCTCTTGAACTTCTCAAAACTTAGAATGTGCAGAAGCCCTTGATGTGTATTTTCCTGCCCAGATCTAGGCCTTTGGTCTCTGCAGGTCCCTGTATGTAGTCCATTTCTGAGATGCAGGTGATTGAAATTCAGAGGTCTGTTCTGTCTGTGGAGCTGCAGGCAAGGTGCTTCCTTGCCTCCTGCTTGATTAACTTTGGAATGGGGAGTCAGCATGGTAGGTTGAGCCTTAGAAAGTCTGAAGGTGTAGAATAAATAGATGTTGTGGTTTCAGGTTTCTAAGAGGCATCTGAGATTCCTGCCCCTGCCTTGGTATTAGGCCTCAATGCTTGTCTTTCAGCTCTCACTGAGCATCCTCAAGCAGCACTATAGTTTGCCCAAAAGTTGAGAGAGTTGAGCAGGAAAGCTGGCACATTGGGAGCAGGAGAGCTAAAGGAGCCAGCCATTCTTGCATGAAGAATGTCAAGGATTGCCTCCCAAGCATGGTTTCTGGTTGGGAGCTCCTTTTCCAGTAGATAAGAAATCCCTGTTAAAATTTCATGTCTACAGGAGCTGGAAATGTGAGCTATTTCACTAAAGGGCCTAGAGTTGGCTAGGTTCAAAGTTCATGGCATCTGCTAAATCCAAGTCTTCCTCGATAGAATCAGCAGACTCTGGGTCCCTTATGGAGCTTAAGGAGCCAGGAATGAAACTCTGAAATCTATCCATGATAGGCAATGTGTCAGGGAAGGCCCAGATAGGTGGGCTGGGTTTCTATGCTTGGATCCATTTACCATTTCCACTTTTCAAAAGGGATGGAACTATGGAGAAGCAACAGCAGCATTCATTCCATAAGAACTCAGGCACTATTACTCTATGTATCATTACTGAGCATTTATAATAAATGAAGAAGTCACATGAGGAGCAATAAATGAAGAAGTCAAATGAAGAATTCTCATCCTAGATCACCTAGAGCAAGGTGTATAAGGAATCTCAAAACAAAATTCCTGGGAATATGACCAGAAAGCTATTACTCAGCATTCATTCAACATGTACTTAACTAAGCAGAGGCTTGTGCCAAACACTGGTGTGGCTTATTTTTGATTCAGGATCTAAGAAAGAATCACACTCTTGAAAGCAAGCTGTATTAGGGGGACTTCTCCAGCCCATCAAGTTTAGGAATGTTATTATCATGTATCTTAGGAGATAGGTGGCAGGACTCTCTTTGGGAAACTCTCAAGTACTATAGAGTTTCCTCAGGACACATATCTATTTCATGGGCTAATATAACAGCACAAAGAGGCCACTGGAACTCAAATTACATATTAAACTGACATTTCAGATATGCTTTATAGGCACTTTTGTGGAGTGTTCCACCAAGGGTTTTGGTTGATTTCTTTTCCTTCCCCAGGTGATGAAGTGTTTGTTTTTACCTCTACTTCAGCAACACTGAATTTCTGCTTGAGTCTGGGGGATAGTGTTTCCTATAATTCCTTCATTCCTTCCTTACATGCAATGGAATTTTGCCTGAGCCTTAGAGGTAAGAGCTCACTGCCCTGCTGTAGCAGCTTAAGGCTAAAGGGGAAGTGGGGACTTTGCCTATGTCACCCAGTAGCAGACTATCATTTCATGCTTACCTGTACCACGAAGGTCTCTTCATGTCTCTTGCCTTGCTTCCAATCTTGTTTTGTTTTGAGAGAGGGTCTCACTCTGTTGACCTAGCTGCAGTACAGTGGTACAGTCTCAGCTCACTGCAACCTCTGCCTTCTGGACTTGAATGATCTTCCTGCCTCAGCCTGCTGAGTAGCTGTGACTAAAGGTGCATGCCACCATGTCCAGCTAATTTTTGTATTTTTAGTAGAGGTGGGGTTTCACCATGTTGGCCAGGCTGGTGTCGAACACCTGAGCTCAAGTGATCCACCTGCCTTGGCTTCCCAAAGTGTTGGGATTACAGGAGCAAGGCACTGTGCCTGGCCCGATCTCTCAACCTTTCTTGTGAGCATTTGGTAGAGGTCCAACTTCTTATGTCTGAGGCTCTCAGATACTCTAAATAGGCATGCTAGCCCATACCTGGCCTTTAAGAATTTGCTAAAAATTTTTAAAATTTCTTCTTACATAGCCACTTTTCCCTTGTGCTCTAATATAGATGAAATACTTCATTTCACAGATATAGAATCCTATCCCAGTTTACATGGTTGGCTTGAGTCTTCAGCTATCTAATGGGCTGAAGAAAAATTATTGTTCTAGATTATCTGGCATTTTGTTTGCTAAATTGGGGGCAACACTCACATAATTTTTCTACATTTCTTCTTCAATTATATATACAAATATAGGAGTTTTGAATAGAATTTTACTGAAGTTAACTTTGGAGATTGTGCAACATTATACAATTTGGTATTTACATCCAGAAATACTAGTATTTTCACTCATTTTTACAAAGAGTATCTTCCAGATTCTTTATGATATGGAGGCATGATTTGTTAACTGATTTTAACTTAAATTCCATATTGTTTTAAACACAAATTGAAGTGGCTTCTGGTATTGAAACATATTTAAAGGAAAACAGGGAAATTAAAAATTATTAGGTTAGAATAAATAATCAGAAAAGTACCTAGGTTTATAACAAAAATTAAACATTATATTTAGCTCTGAGATTCCCAGGAGAAAGGACAAAAAGGGAAACAGTACATCATGTAGTTCTCATAGTTGAATAGAAAGAATGCATTTTTTGTATGTAGTTCCTTTTAGAAATAACAAAATAGAAAATGAGTTCAACCATTGTTTTATAGAAGATAGGGAAATTTCCCTCAATTTAGCATTTCTTTTCCTCACATTAATAAAGTCTGCACATTAATAGGAAATAGGAATTTCAGATAATAAATATGAAAAGTTGAAATAATCCCGACAAATTTTTCAAATCAATTATTGAAAATATTTAGTTAGAAAAAAAAACCTTTACTTGGAAAACAGCAGAAACAAAAGAAAAGTCATACTTCATGTAAACAACAGAACACTATGCTAGTTTAGTTCTATAATAAAATCCACAGAAATCTGTGTGTGTGGCCAAGAATGAGGATACAGAGAAAAGAAAAAGAAAATTCAGAGAGAGGTAGAATATAACCCTTTGCAAGTCTTGTCTGGAGAAGAACCTCTGGAAAATAATAAGTTAACGATGGCCCTAGTCTACCAGCATGTCAGAGGCAGAACCAATGTAATCTCCTAAAATACGAGATTTGTGTCATTCTTAGGATAATTCACTAAGGCGGTTTGGTTCCGCCAATGAATAAAGTTTCTAATTCTACACTAAGCTCATCCTTCAGAACATCAGTCTCATCTCCAGATTCTTCCCCAAGCTTCTTCCACCAGGGTGCTTGTATGTGCTTCAGGGTAGTGAGATGGGCCTGCTTGGCCTTTGCTGCCACAGGCCTGGATCTACTTAGGAAGAGCTCAGGTTCTTTCCCTTCTGCCTCCTTCAGACTTGGTGCCTCTGTAGTAGACAGAAAATAAACAGATGAGCCAAAGAGTCCTAAGCCAAGCAGGTAGAAACCTGGAAGCTACAGAGCTGTAACTCTGCTATAGGAGGCAGAAACAGCATTCCAACTCTGAATGTATCACCACTGCTAACTGTGGATGCTTTTTGACTATTCAAAAGTTATAGCTGTGGCTGGTGGCAATATCACCACCCCCGGCTACTTTTGTGTTTTTTGCTTTTTTTTTTTGAGACAGAGTCTCATTCTGTTGCCTAAGTTGGAGTACAATAGCATGATCACAGTTCACTGTAGGCTCAACCTCCTGGGCTGAAGTGATTCTCCCACCACACTTTCCTAAGTAGTTGGGACTATGCCACCATACCCAGGTAATGTTTTTTCTTTTTTGTAGAAATGGGATCTCACTATGCTGCCCAGGCTGGTCTCAAACCCCTGGACTCAAGCAATTCTTTGCCTCAGCTTCCCAAAGTGTTGGGATTATGTCCGTGAGTCACCATATTCAGCTCATTTCTGGTTTTGTTTGTTTATTTGCTTGTTTTGGGACAGAGTTTTGCTCTTGTTGCCCAGGCTGGAGTACAGTGGCATGATCTTGGTTCACTGCAAACTCTGCCTCCAGGGTTCGAGCGATTCTCCTGCCTCCGCCTCCTGAGTAGCTTGGATTACAGGCGTGTGCCACCATGCCCAGCTAATTTTGTATTTTTAGTAGAGACGGGGTTTCACCATGTTGGCCAGGCTGGTTTCAAACCCCTAACCTCAGATGATTTGCCTGCCTTGGCCTCTTAAAATGTTGGGATTACTGGCATGAGCCACAGCACCTGGCCATTTCTGTGTTATAAAATAAGATGTATATTTTTGTAAGATGGTTTATTTTAAGAACAGAAGCTTTAATAGTAGAACCTCAGTCTATAGATGAGAGGCTCGGTTTCAGCCATTTATCCAATTAAAAAATATAGAATTCATAAGTAGTGGCCATTAAATAGAAAACAGTTGTCCTTTCTGTCCACATACACTAAAGAAATCCAAGAGGCTGACTGAAACACAGAGGCCTCATGGATGGGGTCTCTCATTAAATTGATCAGTGGTTGTGAGACACAGATAAATTAATTTTTGTAAAAGTACCTCATTAAAAATTATAGGTCAGGCATGGTTGCTCACAACTGTAATCCCAGCACTTTGGGAGGCTGAGGCAGGTGGATCACGAGGTAAAGAGATCGAGACCATCTTGGCCAACATGGTGAAATCCATATCTACTAACAATACAAAATTAGCCAGGCATGGTGGCACACGCCTACTACATGTAGTCCCAGCTACTTGGGAGGCTGAGGCAGGAGAATCACTTGAAGATGGGAGATGGAGGTTGCACTGAGCCAAGATCATGCCACTGCACTCCAGCCTGGCAACACAGCGAAACTCCATCTGAGAAAAAAAAAAAACTTATAAAATGCTCTACAAGTGAATGGCACTGTAACTATTGTCGTCATCTACTTTTAAAATATGATGAAAAGCTTTCAGATTACGTAGTAAATAGGGCTCAGCATCTGAAATTAATAACTTTGTCCTGATACATATGAATAATGGCAAGGCCTGGGGATGCAGGCAAGAAGGAGGTTATAAAATTGGCATCATTTGAAAACACTGTTTGCTGGTCTGATTTTTGTAGAAATTTCCTGAGGTTAGAGGATGAGCTAAAGATGCTTACTAACTGTTCCCTTCTGAAGGTTTTGGATGTCACAAACCTTGCATAGGTTGTTCTTTTTCAAGAACAAAAGTAAAATAAGCACATACTCATTAGCTGTTCAACGTTGGTGCTGATTTGTGCCATCAAAGCTTCTCTGTGCTGCTGGGCTCGCTCTTCTAGGGCCCTGCCCATAAAATAGTGTTGCAGTCGTTCTTGAGCTTGGGCATGGAGCTCCCTACTGACCACATCTGGCATTGGAGAGCCCTGGAAACACAGGACAGAAAAACTTGTCACAGAGAGGACATAGGTTATCAAAGTACCCAACTACTTAGTAGAGATTTTAGAATGCTTATCTTTCATTTTATCAATTCAATCTCATTATTGATGTTTACCCTGTATTCCTGTACAAGTATTAAATAGTCTCTTAAAAGTATTAGATAAAAAATAATGGTGGAGAAGTTTTTTTGTTTTGTTTTGTATGCACCCATACTTTACTTTCTCAGACACTGTGGAATTATGGGAGAAGAGATAAGATTGAGAGATTACAGTGAAAAAGTACAAATGCTTTGGTAAAGACTGGCCTGGAGCCAGGCGTGTTGGCTCATGCCTATAATCCCAGCTCTTTGGGAGGCCAAGCTGGGTGGATTACCTGAGGTCAGGAGTTCAAGACCAGCCTGGCCAACATGGTGAAACCCTGTCTCTACAAAAATCAGCCAGGCATGATGACAGGTGCCTGTAATTCCAGCTACTTGGGAGGCTAAGGCGGAAGAATTACCTGAACCCAGGAGATGGAGGTTGCAGTGAGCCAATAATCTTGCCATTGCACTCCAGCATGGGTGACAGAGCAAGACTCTGTCTCAAAAAATAAAAAAATAAAATAAAAGACACTTGGCTGGAACAAGTGTAACAAAGCCAATTCCTTTGTTTTAGACCCCATCTGAAAGACTGTCTTCTTATCCTATTCTTGCTCTCAAACTTATCGAAGTCATATGTTATAATTGCTTCTGGATTCACAGAACGAGGGATAAAATCATCCAAAGGACCATATTCTTTTGGCTAGTCAGCTAATTTAAGAGGAATTTAACTAATTAGTTTGGGCAAGGATGAAATAATCTTAACTTTGGAGCTGATAAAGATTCTGACACCACAACTTTCTCAGATATTCCTGTTTGTGATCCTTTAAACAACCCTGTTCCACTAAAACCTTACTTCTCAGCCACAGGCTCTTAAACAGCTGCACTAGAGTATGGCTAAAGAAGCACTTAAAAAAAAAAAAGAAAAACGGGAGCATGCATCAGAACTACATATAGTGTATTTAAAAAAGAGAGATCAAAGACTGAAACATAAGAGCTAAAACTGTAAAACTCCTAGAAGAAAACACAGGAAGAGCATCATGACATTGGTTTTGGTGATGATTTCTTCATATCACACCAAAGAACAGGAAACAAATAAACAAAAAACAGAAAAATGAACTTCACCAAAATTAAAAACTTTTGTGTGCCAAAGACTACTATTAAGAAAGTAAACTGGCAGTCCACAGAATGGCATAAAATATTTGCAAATCATATATCTGATAAGGGATTAATCTCCATAATACATAAAGAACTCCTAAAACAACAAAAAACAACCTAATTAAAAAATGAACAAAATATAACCCTGTAGAAAAAAAATTAAAAGACTTAAATAGACATTTCTGCAAAAAAGATAAAGAAAAGGCCATAAACAAATGAAAAGATGCTCACAATCACTAACCAGAGAAAATGCAAGTTCAAACCATAAGATACCACTTCATATCTATTAGCTACTATCAAAAACAACAACTACAATGAAAATAACTAGTGTCGATAAGGATGTGGACAAAATGGAACCCTGTGTGCGACTGCTGATGGAAATGCAAAGTGGTATTGCCACTATAGAATACAGTACGGCAGTTCCTCAAAATTAAAAAAAAAAATAATTAGCATACAATCTAGCATTTTCATTTCTGGATACATACCCAAAATAAAAAACAAGGATACAGATATTTGTACACACATGCTCATAGTAGCATTATTTACAATAACCAAAGGGTGGAAGGAAGCCAAGTTTTCACTGACAGATTAATGGATAATCAAAATGTAGTATATATAATGGAATTATTATTCAGCCTTTAAAAAGTAGGAAATTCTGACAAATACTAAAATATGAACCTTGAAGACATTATACCAAGTGAAACAACCAAGTATGATTCCTCTCATGAGGTACTTAGATTAGGCAAATTCATAGAAATAGAAAGTAGAATGGTGGTTGCCAGGAGCTGGGTCGTGGCAGAATGGTGAGGTAGTGTTCAATGGATGCAGGGTTTCAATTATGCAAGATGAAAAAAGTTCTGAAGATGGATGGCAGTGATGGTTGCACAAACAATATGAATGTACTTAATGCCACCAAACTGTACATTTAAACATAGTTAAAATGGTAATTTTCACATTTTACCTATTTTACCACAGTGAAAATAAATTTTTAAAATATAGATACATGATACCACACAAAACTTACCATATCAGAATTTCTTGGGATGTAGGGGCTTTGGTATTTAATTGTTATAAAGGTGATGAAATTTGTAAATGGTTAAAATTGTTAAAAGCAATATAGTCCTTTCTACAGAGCTTAGGAACTGATTATCTATTTGTTGGAAAGGAGGCACGCTTCTGTCTTCATTCTATCTCTGCTCACAGGAAAAAAAGTTTTCAGTGTGGTTCTGCCTCTCTTTAATTCAGTTCTGGTGCTTGACTAAGGCAGGAGTTGCTAATATGATTGATTGTCACTCAGAAGATTCATTTGCCATGTTTTATTGGTGGCCAGGGTGATTATTTTTAAAAGCTCAGGACCCCCAAATTTTTTTTAAGCATTTAGGTTAAAACAATTTTTTTAAAAATACAGCTTTATTGAGGTAAAAATAACATACACTAAATGACAAATATTGAAAGGGTACAGTTTGCTAAGCTTTGAAATACACATACATCTGTGAAACCATCATCACAATCAAGATAATGAACATTCATCACTACCAAGTTTCCTTGTGCCCTTTTGTAAACCCTTATCCTCACCCTTCACATCCGCTTATCCCGAAGCAACTACTTATCTCTTTAATGCTACTATAGTTTATATTTTTAGAGTTTACATAAAAGGAATTATAAAGAATATATTCTACTCTGTCTTCTTTTATTTTGCATAATTATTTTGAGATTCATCCATGTGTGTTTTTTTTTTCCTTTTTCTTTTTCAAATTGTTTTGAGACAGGGTCTCATTCTGTCACCCAGTAATGCCATCACTGCTCACTGCAGCCTCAAATTTCTGGGCTCAAGTGATCCACCTGCCTCAGCTTCTCAAAGTGCTGGAATTACATGCATGAGCCACCATGTCCAGCCAGAGATTCATCCATGTTGTTTAGAGTATCAATTTATTCCTTTATACATGCTGAATAGTACTCCATGGTTCTAGTTTTTTGGCCATGAGCATTCATGTACAAGTGTCTGTATGGACATGCATTATTTTTCTCTGTGGTAAATATCTAGGAGTGGAATGGCTGAATCATATGATAGATACATGTTTAATTTTTATTTTATTTTTTTTTTTGAGATGGAGTTTTGCTCTTGTTACCCAGGCTGGGGTGCAATGGCGCGATCTCGGATCACGGCAACGTCTGCCTCCTGGGTTCAAGCAATTCTCCTGCCTCAGCCTCCCGAGTAGCGGGGACTACAGGCGCACGCCACCATGCCCAGCTAATTTTTGTATTTTTAGTAGAGACGGGGTTTCACCTTGTTGACCAAGACGGTCTCGATTTCTTGACCTCGTGATCCACCCACCTCGGCCTCCCAAAGTGCTGAGATTGTAGGCGTGAGCCACCGTGCCCCGCCTACATGTTTAATTTTTAAAGAAATTGTCAAACTGTCTTCCAAAGTAGTTGTACTATTTTACATTCAACAAGAGATGATTCTGCCACATGCTTGCTAACCTTTGACATGTTCCATTTTATAAATTCTAACAGATATGAAGTATCTGACTGTGGGTTTTTTTTGAAAAATTTTAAATTTTTATTAAGAAAATGGGGTTGTTGCCCAGGCTGATCTCAAACTGCTAGGCTGCAGCAATCCTCCTGCCTTGGCCTCCTAAAGTGTTGGGATTACAGGTATGACCCACTGTGCTGGGCCCTTGTTGTGGTTTTAATATGCATTTTTCTTAGTGACTAATGATGCATTTTAATATGCATTTTCCTTAGTGACTAATGCATGTGTTTATTTGCTATCTGTCTATCTTTGGGTGAAGTTTCTGTTCAAAGCTTTTGTCCATTAAAACAAAAACTAGTTCATATGTTTTCTTATTGTTGAGTTTTGAGAGTTCTTTCTATATTATGGATATAGGAACTTTATCAGATATATGCTTGGCAATGATATTCTCCCAATCTGTTCCTTGTTTCTTTAACTCTCTTAACAGTATCTTCTGAAGAGAAGTTTTAAATTTTGATAAAATCAATTATCAAATTTTCCTTTTTGAATCATGCTTCTGGTATTGTATTCAAGAAAAGTCACAGTATTTCTCCAATGCTTCCTTCTAGCAGTTTTATAGTTTTAAGTTTTGCATTTAGGCCTATGATCCACTTTGAGTTAAATTTTGTATATGAAGTTGTGTATTGCTTCAAGTTCAATTTTTTTTAATATATGGATAGCCAATTGCTCCAGTTTCTCCACTGCAGTAACTATGCATCTTTATCAATTGGTTGTGTATATATGTGCATTTATTTCTGGATTCAAGTCTGTTCCACTGATCTATTTTTGTATCTTTGTATCAATATCAAAATGTTTTGATTTTATAGCTTTATTATAAATGCTATACCTTTATAATTGCAATCAGGTAATGTTAGCCCTCCAACTGTTCTTTTTTGCAGTTACTTAGCTATTCTATTCTAGGTCCTTTGAATTTCTTTTTTTTTTTTTTTTTTT